CAAACATTAGATAAGCATTTTAAGTTAATGGGCCATGCAGTCCTATTTTCCCACAAACTCAGGAAGCACCGAATTATGGCCTATTTTTACAACAACATCAATTATTAATATGTATACTTTGCTGACAGAGGACCTCGCTAAAAATGTGAGTTTCGTTATCCAGTTCTGGGTCATTAACCATGGAAAGCTTGTAAATATAATGGTTTATTCACATGGGAAGCCTTCATTAAGATGCATTATTCTATAGCTGATGTGGCTATCGTGCATTATTGAGTTCACTGTCTCCATCTAATATTTGTAATTTGTTTTTAAATGAGTTGCTGTTTATAAGGCGAGTGAGCAAATTTGAATTTTGCATGGCCAAAGAAATTTCTTTAAGAAGGAAAAAATGCTTCTGCCCCAAGGAAAAGCTATTTATTAGCGTCTCTGACTGCAGAGTGCCTCCCTAGGAGTCTAAAGCAGCCGCATAAAACGCATTCAGAGAAACGACATAAAAAAGAAATTGGCTTTTGTTTTTAACACGTGCAGTAAGTATACATGTGATAGGTCTGAAAACTTTAAGGATTCTGGAAACTGTCCAGGGAATATTGATCTGTTTGGTAGTATTCAAAGATTGTTATTTGGATGCTCTAATAGCTGGGGATGTTCGGAGCTATGTTGTCATGGGGGGCAACCACCAGGAAGGAGGGACAGCCTTTTAGCATTTCCTTTCCCTTGCATCCTTGGACACTCAAGATGGGTAGATCATGCCGCATGTCTCCTTTAGAGTCCCCTGAACATTTGTCCTTTATAGTCCTCTTGAAAGATGCATGCAAAGAAAACTCAGCTTCAAGGTCAGAGAGACCTGGAAGAGAAGAGTGAGGGGGGATTTGATAACAGCCTTCAACTTCCTGAAGGGAGGTTCCAAAGAGGATGGAGAGAGGCTGTTCTCAGTAGTGACAGATGGCAGAACAAGGAGCAATGGGCTCAAGTTACCGTGAGGGGGGTCTCGTTTGGATATTAGGAAAAACTATTTCACTAGGAGGGCGGTGGAATACTGGGATGGGTTACCTAGGGAAGTGGGGGAATCTCCATCCCTAGAGGTTTTTAAGTCTCAGCTTGACAAAGCCCTGGCTGGGCTGATTTAGTTGGGCTTGGTCCTGCTTTGGGCAGCAGGCTGTTCTTGATGACCTTCTGAGGTCTCTTCCAGCCCTAGGATTCTAGGATTCTAGGCCTTTAGGGTGGGATTTAGGCCTCAACATTTGGAAATAGGTTTAGTGATACTATCTCGAACAGGTGACATTTAAGGTGACATAAAAAATGAAATTTTCTGGACTCAGGTCCACAGAAACCAAGCTCCAGTGACGTATGGTCTTACTGGCTTTGTTTCTTTGTAAAGCAAGAGGACTGAAAAATAATTCTCTTATTCACAACTGTACCATCCTTGGCAACGTTCAACTCATTTTTCCTTACATTTACTTTCAATTTGAGAAGGCTGGAGGTCCTATTTAAAGATTTTGTTTTAAAGATTACAGTTTTTGTAGCTAATGTAAAAAAAAAAAACCCCCCAACAAACTTAGATTACATAAGGAAACAGCGCTTACCGTGTGCAGTCATTTTTCTTTCTTAGTTGTCCGGATCTTTCACAAAGCAAGAGTAGAAGAAAAGCCTCTTATTAAGAAAATAGGGAAATACAATTGTGAATGCACAAAAATTAGTTATTAAAGTCAGGAATCACTACAGCGGGTTTGGTTATAAAAAATGCGCTAATGTTAAGTTAACGCTGTTCTTTTTAACTGATCCAAGTGGTGGGGGTTTCTAACATTTCCCTTGGGAGACTATTCATAGCCTAACAAGAAAATGAAAGCTGAATATGGAGGAGAGGCATTAAGACTTAAGAACATAAGCAAGGCCATACTGGATCAGACCAAAGGTCCATCTAGCCCAGTGTCCTGTCTGCCAACAGTGGCAAATACCAGATGCCCCAGAGAGAGGGAACACAACAGGTAATCAACATGTAATCCCTCTTCTGTCATCCATCTCCAGATAAACAGAGGCTAGGGACACCATTCCTACCCATCCTGGCTAATAGATTCACGGACGTTAGCTCCATCAATGGCTAGATAGCTTTTTTTTTAACCCTGTTAAAGTCCTAGTCTTCACCGCATCCTCTGGCAAGGAGTTCCACAGGTTGACTGTGTGCTTCTTTTATTTCATCTCTTCATCTTTAGTTGTACCCTATCAACTAGCTTCTTTTCTTGATTGTTTATATCCTTCACATATCTGTAAACTTAATTAGTGATTAGTACTTAGAATTAAATGAATACTTTATATAGATTATGTGTCAGTTTTACTTATTGCTTAGCTACGGTGTATATAACAAGCTCTTTTCAACCCTTTCCTTCTGTGGCAATCCTTTTCCCTGCTCGTCATCGACCTCAGCTGGTATATTGCTCTGGCTAAATATCCTTTGTGGTCCTGCTACTAGTTTCCATATTTAAGCCAGTCTGAATTCATTTTGAAAAATCCTGTGACACATTATTGGGACTACTTTCCCCCTCCTTGTTTTTGTC